AGACGGGTTGTGTCAATGGTCAAAGCAGAGGTGCAGAAGGTGCTCAGCGTAGAAAAGTCCCTGTGTTTTGGATTGGAGTTCCTCGAGCCATCGCTCCTCAGCGTCCGCAAACTGCACGTGTGCTCTGCACACACAGAGGCCTATCGACTGCAGACTTAAGCTTCTAACACAAGGTTTGCAACAAGCTTTTGTGAAGATTTGCACAATCATTGCAAATAACACATTACTCCCAGAGAAAACAGGAGCCCGTTTGAGTCTGCTTGGCGTCCGGCTTGAACCGCTGGAATGAAATTCTGTCCGTCTGTCCATCGTGGCAGACGCCTCAGCTCTAGAGTGAGGATGATGATAACTTCTCTCTGACATAAGCCAAAATAGAAAATAACTTTTTACAATAATCCTGTCTCAGACGCTTAACTCGCTTTAGGCTGATTTTAAGCCTGGGTTGGGGCTGGGGAGGAGTTCATCTCTTCGTTCCATATTACAGTGTGGACAATAAAATAAGGTGTCCCCAGTTCTACTGGGTTACTCACTGTTGTCACTGGGTGAATTGAGTTAGGCTTCTGAGCTGAGTGCTGTCCCAGTACAGCTCGTGTACAAGTGCACACAAGACTTGGAGGACACTCTGACAATTAAGAAAGCAAACAGTATTTCTGGGCTTTGATTTTTAAAAAGATTCTCTTTAAAAATTGAGCTGATGAACCGAATACGAACTGACATCGCACTGAGGACAATGGGCACAGCCCTGCGTAGGTGAACTTACAGCATTTTCTGCTGATTGTTTTAAATATCTGAGGCTGATGTGCAACTAAATATTTTATGTTTCATAAAGCTCTTCCTGAAGTTATAAACAATGTTTGCCCTGAAGGTAGTTAGGTGGAGGAAATGTGAGAAACTTGGAAAACAATTTCAAGTCCTTTTATCCCCTATGTTTTACTAGCAGGCTGAAAGACATTTCAAGTGCTCTGAATCAGTAGCTGCAGGCATGAACCCCAAGGTAAAGATTCCAGTTCCTTAATGAGGTTCCAGAAATGGACAGCTTTCTGTGCTGGCTGTTCTTTGTAGAGGATGCACAGACTACTTTCAAAAGCTCCAGTTTTAAGCTGCAATATCCATTTTATCTATAACAAACATATCCTGCTTTTTTGCTTCAGGAGGAAGAGATGAAAAACATGGTATGTCTTAGAGCAAGATACACTCTGCACATAACTCCACAGCACACCTGCAAGGAAAAGCACCCCGCGGGGTCAGGGCCTGGTACTAGTGAGCTTTGAAGCAAAATTGCAGTAGTCACAGAATTTTAAAGCAGAAAGACACAGGAGAGGCAACGGTTTTGTATTGTGTGTTACTCCCTTCTGTCCTTTTTCCCCTACAGTCGCGGAGACAGGATACTTGCTACTGTCTGCTTTATCCTGCAAACATCTGTTCCTCTCTCGCCCAGCACTGCGTATCAGACCAGCCGGGAGTCAGAGCCTTACCAGAGTGTTATTATTGGCTTGAAAAAAGGGAGACATCCCTTCTCTTTCCATTTAAATCAAGTGTAGTATATCTCCATTCTTGCATGTTAAAGGATTGTTTTGTTATATTTCCCCCTATTCTATACTATTCCTTTAACGTACGCTGATGAAAACAGACACACTTTCAAAACTCTCTCTGGGAGGCCAAAGCTGGGTTTTCGTATGTTCGTGAATTCCTTGAATGTCAAAGCTGCTGTCCCCTGATGAAGGGAGCCTGGAATTGAGACAGGCCAGCTGTTCGCATTTCGAAACAAGGATCAGTTGTGCTGTGCTAAACATCTGTATGCGCCAAACAAGAGTTTAAAACAGTTGTTCAAATACTTCTGGTTTCCATCCTCTCACTGAAACTGGCTGCAATTCACTGTTGGGATTTTTTAGTGTTTTGGTTTTAGCTCTGGTCATCCCGATTGCTCACTTACCCTCTTAACTTCTGAACTGCCCTGTAGAGCACAAATACGAGTTAAGTATTTGGTTCTTTGGATGATTCAGAATAATTCTCTCTTCATGATTACTGTATACAGAGGTTGGAGTGGCTCTCATCCTACTTAGCAGTTACTAAATGTGAACCTGTATTTCCTTCTGTATATCTTTCTCCTATGCTTTTCTAGCCTACCTTGACCTTTCTCTTTTCTGTCCTTTTCTTATCCTGCTCTGCAGCTGATGGAGCAGAAATCAACTCTGGCGCATTACACAGTGACCTAGAAAGCCAGTAGCTTGCATCAGCAAATCAGTACCACCTGCGCATCTGCCTAAAATAGATTAATGAATTTATTAAAATTTTGATGAAGAGATTGTTTTGCTTTTGTTATTGCATCCTTTATTTTTCATTGTAGGTCAGTGCATAAATATGCTTCTTTTTTTCATAAAGAAATTTTAAGTCAAAACACACTGATTTATGCCTATGCTGTCCATTCCGCATAACTGAATGCAGCTGAAATGTTGAACTGGGACCATAGATCATAGCACAGGAGGACACATATGGAAAAAAAAAAAAAGACACGTCTGATTTGGGGACACAAGCAAGGAGTCTTGGTTGGTTTAACTTGCTACCTGACATTTTCAGATTTGCCACAACAGGCACCAAAGAGAGCGGAAGCAATAGATCTCCAGGGCCAAATCTCTCATACCCAGCTACTGAATGCATTTCTGTGATCCAAGGCAGTCCTCTGCCTGTTGTCCATGAAGTTACAGTTAAAATTCCATAGCTAGTTATATACAACTTCTATATAAAAGAAACATTGTATGTTTCAAGAAGGAAAGAATCAGACCTGAATGTTCAGACCTCTCCCGGAGATGTGCTGTGTGGCAGTGCTTACAGAACATAAGCAGCAACACCAGGTACCCGCTTCTCATCCTAATTCACACTGTGTATCCACTATCATGTTTGGTCTGTTGCCTCTTGTAACACAGAACTGAATCCTGAAGGCCCTGAATTCCTGATAATCCTCATCAGTATCACAGGGTTTAGAGCCAGAGGCCAGAGCCCCTCCTGAATATTGATCAGAGGACAGTAAGAGGATATTATGTGAATATGGAAGGAATTTGGTGGGGAGGGAAAGGACCATGCTGACAAAAGGGCAGTTAGAACCGACCTACTATATTAAAGAATTGGATAAATAATATGCAAAGATGCTTATATTCTAAATGTACTACAAACATTTGTTCCTTTTTGAAGAAAAGAGATAAATTAAAATCCATTGTGTTGCCTGATAATCACAGCTCAAGTATATCAGTTGCAAACTATAGTGTAAAACTTACTTATTATTAAAACCTTGCTTTTCCTATACATTAAATAGTCATTACTGAAGAGCTGACTAGAAAGGCTTATTTTGAGAGAGGAACACTGATCAGCTGTTAATTTTTTTAAAAAAAAGTAACGCATAAAAAATAGTAAGCTCACAAGCATAAGCATAACCCTCCTTCAATAACTTCCACCATACTTCTGAACTGGTAGAGCTGTCAGTCTGTGACCACTGATGCGCTCTCATACTAAGTTTTGAGGGACTTCTAGAAACAGTCCACATAAAAATTCAGTATTACAATTCTGCGTCAGTGTGTATTGTTGTGTGCGGACGTATGCGCACAGAGCTGGTCCTCACCAGTGAGTGGCAGCTGAGCTGGATTAGGTGCCAAAGGGAGTTGAACCGTTCACCAGCTTACCGGGAACGCCAAGCTGTAACTTCATGTGCTGGCACAGCTCACTGCCTCCCAGACCGCAGCTTGCTCAACCTGCATAGTGCTGCCTTGCACCATAAAGGCCAACCTTCAGGATATAGTTTCTAACCTAATTCACTGGGGTAAAATCACAAAGAATTTCTTCCTTCCCTGCCCAATACCACAGCTGCCTGCTCACAAGCTTGTGCCAATACACCTGTTTCCTGGGGATGCACACGGAAAAACTGCAAGCTAGAAATGCCTTAGGGAGGGCTGGGGCTGATATTTGAGGATTCTTTGCAACCAGGGCAGGTTAGTGCTTCTCCTTCACCCCACTCCTTTTACAAATGCATATGAAGAACTGAAGAAGCAGTGAACCGCAGCGTTGGCTTGGATCTGTTTCATACCAATTTCGCTACCTAGCTCGGCTCTCTGTGACTGTAGCAGAACTCTCTCAATAGTTTCTTTTGCTTCAAGTTAAAGCAAGCTAGTAACAGTTTCCTGATTGCAGGGAGGAAAGGGAACTAAGCTTTCTCAATTTATTCTGAAAAATTCAAGGCGGTCCTAGCCCACAGGTTAATATCCAAGATATTTAAATAGGAGGCAACAAGTTAATCTTCATAATCAGAAGGGTTTTGCTGTATGTTTGCTGCAGGCGGTGAGCAAACCACTTCCTAAAGCAGTGAGGCAAGAGCTGTTACAGGAGCTCCAACAGCACTGTAAAGTCTGAAACTTTGCCTTAAACCACAGGTTCAGTTTTCCTGAAAACTCCATTTTGCTTACGTCCCAGCTAGGGGAAATGAAGTTGCGTTGCACGTGCACTTCTCCAAGCAGTAGTAGTAAGGATCACTTGCAGCAATAGTGTGACTCAACACAAGATTTGTCATTTTGAAAGGGCAAGAGTGCATTTTAGCAATGTAACAATCCCACTTGGCTTCTTGACAGGCAGCCAGTGATAGAAGGCGCTGTAGTGGAGATAGCCATCAGCTGGGCAGACTCATCTCAGCTAGTTGTATGCTGCAGACCGAGTCTAAGTATAAACTAAAGCCAGCAAATTCTGTTTACTCTGTCTAACAACATCCAAGCCAAAAACTCAAATACGCCCATGTTCCAGTTCTACCTGAAATGGGAACCCCAAAAGTGAAAATGAAATGCTGTGAATGACAGACTTCCCCATAAGAACATGAATCATTAATGCACTCCTTATTAAATCACATAGCAGTAATGTTAGTGTTTTTAAGTCCATATAGTGTAACTACATAGATATCAGTGTCTTTCCTGTTGACACCATTTCTTAAGATTTTTCTTCTCTTTTTTTTCTAGACTGTTCTTCAAGGGATTATTTTGCTGCCCCTCCGTGCCATAGGCATGGCATTCATTCTACTGCTAGCATGGCTGTTTGCATCAATTGCAACTTTCCGTCACCATGGAAAAGGATCTGTGCCACTTAAAGGATGGAGAAGGTAAAAAGTGACCAGTATTTGTGAAAACTCTGTTTTGTTTTGGTTTTTTCAATAACACAAAGCCAGGGTCTAAAGCTTTTTCTTTTCCTCTCACTCCTTCCCTCCTTTTGATTAAAGATGAGTCCTCAGTGAAATGTTAGTTTTACCCATTTAGGTGAAGTAACTTTTTCATGAGTGTGTTTTACGAAAATGGTGGAGCTTTTTAAATAGGTAGATTTTTAATTGTCTTGAGGCTAAAACAAATCTGTATAAAAAAATCTTTAAAGACTATTTGTAAGCCAGGACTTATTTTAGTAATAATACTGATAGGAATATTTGAGAAAAGAAACTCATTAAGAAAAGTATTTGGTAATACTACAGAGGCTGACCTGTCTTAGCTACGTTACCCTTGAAGGAGTATTTTACAGCTGCCTCTGGGGGTTCTGGGTTTCAGTCGCTCAGCTTCTGACCTCAGAGTAATGAAGTTCCCTTCTGGTGATGCAGTGCAGCTGCACGCAGGAGGAGACGCAGGAAGTGAATTCTCACATGGCTGAGAGATTACGGGGAGTCCCATGAAGGGAACATGTCCCCTGTTGAGGGAACATTGTCATTTAATCTTACTTGTTAAAACTGGTAGTAAAAGAACAGTATCAGAGTTAAATGAGTTCTTACAAAAAGGACACTGAATCAGCTAATTACCCACCCTCCCCTACCAATAGTGTTATGCTACAGTGCTACAAGATATGGCAAGAAAAACAGCATACCTGGGAGGAAGGTTTAGTAAGGTGTTGTACATTGCCTTATCTTTAAAATGATAGTCTGGTTTCAACATGAAAAGCTGATGTTCCCTTCCCTGCTTCTGCTTCTTCCCCATTAGCCCTACGCTCTCCTGGTGAGTAGCATTGGGACCCTGTGCCTGGCCCCAGTGCTGGTGAGAACTAGGAAATCTTTCATGGGCTTCTGTTTTAAAGTACAAAATAAACACTAACTGTAAGATGGATGATATTTTTGATTTTCTGTTTACAAGGAGGATGATCCAGACAACCCTCTCCTGCTTAACTCGTGCCTTGTTCTTCGTAATGGGTTTCCAAGTTAAAGTAAAAGGGAAAATAGCAAGTCTGCTGGAAGCCCCAATCTTTGTTGCAGCTCCTCATTCAAGCTTTTTTGATGCCATTATTTGTGCCCTCACTGGAATGCCGTCAACAGTGTCTAGAGCAGAGAACCTGTCAACTCCGATATTTGGCAGTAAGTATTCATGAAAAAATAAAATGTTAGAAGTCAGTAATTTGACATGAGGCCAAAAATCTGATCTCTGGAAGTGATCTAGGGGCAGAATTTTTTAAATCCTTAGGTTCCAAAGATATTCACAGATTATTTCTAGTGAAATCCCTGGGACAAGTTATCTTTCTGAGTGGGTCAAAATGTCTAAAAGTATGCTGTTTCTTTCCAGATATGAAATACAGTATCACTTTAAATTTGCTTTATACTGAAAGTATGTTTCATAACTGCTCAGGCTAGAGGCTTTTTCTTAAAATTCTCCCAGGAGGTAGCTTAAGAAATCTGTTCGACTGCTGTCTTTTAACAATGTGGCCCACAAATGTAGAACACGATTAGTGATGGTTATTTTAAAACAGACCCAAACTACAGCAGTCTGGAAAATACCATATTTATAAGTTTAAACTTGCAGGCACTGTTACAGATTTTTTTTAACAGGAGTCAAACCAGGAAAGAATAAAAGAGAAGTTACTTAAAAAGGAAATGCAGAGAATGGAAAAGATCAGATGACTCATGCTTCTATTATTCTCTGCTCCTTTTGGCACAAAAAGAATTCCTGTTTACCTTATTACTAGAATCAGCTGTAGACTTTCTGCTGGCTGTATGTCTCTTATCTTTATAGGACTCTTAAAAGAACAAGCCAACAGTAACCCAAAACTAAACACAGCAGGCCACACAAAAAAGCATCTTTTACAGAAATAAGCTAACTAATAATATATTGACCTTCTTTTAAAAGTACAAGAGTAGTCCATAGAAGATGACAATTCTTCCCTAAGTTTCTCATCGCATCTCAATAGGTCCACCCATTCTGATGTAGGCTTCTGACAAAATGAGTTTGGTTTTTTTTCCTGTAATTTACACGAGCTGTGTATGCTTTATAATAACTAAAAAGGGAGGGACATCTTACTACTTCTGCACAGGCTCAGAGTACTCGGTGATTGCAGTCTGCATGAGTTAGGCCTGAGTGTGGCTCCTGAGCAGAGATCCAATCAGGCCTTTTCCTTAGAATTGTGTGGAAATGCTCAGTGAAAGATAACAGCAATATCAGCAGAATGTGTTTGGGTGAATTTGGCATGTTTATACCTACTGTAAAGCTCCTCAGCTGGCAGTATAGATATATCTTCTAAGTCTTACTTCCCGTTTTGCAGAATGGGGACAATATTAATACTCTTCTTATCTATTTAGTCTGAAAGCTATTTGTGCAGAGTCTGTCTCCTAGTACAAGAATAACAAGTTTTTTGCTACAAGGGAGCCTTGAACCCTTACTAGTTTTCTAAGCTCTAGTGTAAGACAAATAAAATTTTTTATCTCTTTCACAGCAATTTTAAGTTCCCTTCAGCCTGTATCAGTTTGTCGACAAGACCCTGATTCACGAAAGAACACGGTCACCGAGATAACAAAGCGAGCATTATCAAGAGGCCAGTGGCCACAGGTAATAAATATACTACTACTGTTCTCTCATGTATTCATATTCTATATTCCCTGTGCATGATAATATCACAAGTGCCCAGCTGAATATGATTCTGTTTGTGTACAAAGATGAAATCAGCTCTCGGGTATATGACTGGTTTAGGAAAGGAAGACGAGAGGCTGGTGCCCAAAAACTGTTGTCATGACAAATGAGTCAGTTAAAATCCAGCCAGTTAACAACTGCTGTTCCAAAATGCGGATGCTTCTGACCTTCTGTTTTCCCTGTTTAAGTCTTAACGTGCTGTCTTCAGCATAGCAGATGACGTGGATTGGTATATGCAAATCAGTATTCCCAAGCTAGCTCATGTGTGAGAAACTACTGCAGAGCTGTGCTCACAACAGTTGGAGGCTGAGCAGTGACGAGATGACTAACCTGGGCTGCCCAAGCTCCAGCATGAACAATACTTAAGATTAAAACATCAATTTCACATGTGTCAAATAGCTGAGGTGAAACTTAGTTCAGTCTTTAGGTTAACAATGCAATACAACCAAGGCTTTTAGTTTGGTCTGAATTGTGGAAAGATCTTAACGTGGAAGCAGTAGTTACTGATTCTGCACACTGTTTCCGTGGTCGTTCCTCAGCAGCAAGCTGCTGTTGCGCTTCTAGGCCTTGGATGGCTTTCCGTCCTGTAGAGCTGATGGAGCAGGGGTTGCTCTGGAGGGAGAAAAATGTTGCGGCAGCAACTCTGCTGCTCTTATGACAGGCAGAGGGCTGGGATGGAAATTGCATCCTTTGCAAGGAGGAAAACCTGGAACAGTTGTGAACCTACTAACATCTCATTTGGCAGTGCCTCTCTGCTTTCTTCTCTTGCATTACTGTGCTCTGATGTTGCCTTCAGACACTACAAATACAGTATCATTGCCATGCTGCTGGACAAATACAGTCAGTGATACAAGACCTTTCTTCAAAGATATCCTGTGTGGATCTGTCTACAAGTTCATGCTTTGTGTTCTGAGTTAGTTCTTCACTTGTTTTCTTAAGGGTTAATTTGCTTAAAATAAAAAATTTAAAACTCATAGAAGTGACTGGTTAAGTAGCTAAAGTCACAAGATCTGTTTAGTCATAGTTGACTACCTTCTAAATGATTGAGAAGAGTTACCATTTCCTTCACTTTTGTTCCAGTGAGTGGCTCTTGAGGAAAAAGAGACTAGTGAAAATACAGACTTCGGTAGCAGGTACCTCTGTGGGAGCTAGACCTGAATGCACTGCTCTGTGAATAGTCTCTGGAAACAGAGAACATTCAAGTGTAACTGCTTCTCATCCTGAAGAAAGACCAACACTGGCCACTTTTTTGAGATGGCATTATTCAGACATTCTCTGCATCATTTTTCTTTAGCAAGCACCTTACGAAAAGGTTTTTAGTTAGTGTTTAGGTTACTTTAATTTGACTCATAAATGCATTTTTGTAAGCTGTTGTAAATATTTTTAGAGCCTCCATTATTATTTCACTTTGTCAGTTATATGGAGGATTTTAAATCGGCACGTCAAAGCTAGGAAGGCTTTTTTTTGTAATACTGTGCTTACAAACTACACTGATGCTTATGATTTGCTAAACTGTTATGGATGAAGTTATTCCAACAATGCCCTGGTAGACCTAATCTCTGCTGGAAACAGCATGGGAAGGAAAGAGGAACTGGCTTGACACCAATCTTGTACTTGAGATGAAAACTAGATCTATAGTTTGGCATAAATAGTCTGTAAGTCAGATAATCTGGGAATCTCCCAAACTGAGTCAGCAGTACTACCTGGAGTGTCACTGGGTGGTTCCTAGTCCTGTGCCCTGGCCACACCTTCCTCCTACTCTGTTGGTTTGGTATTTTTTAAGAAACTTGACCACAAGATGATGTCTGTCATATCCTCTTCAGCATGCCTGGGCTGCATTTTCTCAGCACATCACAAAAGGAGGAGTAACTGGATTTCCCATTCCCTCCACCTAAAACCAAAACGCAACAGGCTGGCACAGGCTTGTGCTTATTAATAGCAGGAGGTTCTGATTAACTCTTCTCCCAACCCCATACCGAAATAAAGGAGGAGGGAATGATTACCTACTCTTTGGTCAGTCACTAATATGTTTTCCAGGGCTTATGACATATGCTAAGAAGAAACATACCCATTTTTGTGTCCGTAGCACCAGGAATAATTTCTGATTACAGAATGCAAAGTCAAAGACTAACTGTAAACTGGTACGTGCAGCTGTCTATCCTACTTTAGAACAGCCTGTGTCTCTTTGGTATGACCTAATGATGCCCTCTTTCATCCAGCCTTGATCTGTTGGTTCGGACTGAAGTGGGAGCACACCTTGAACACTCTCTTGATCCAGACCAGTTCTTGTGCTGAGTTTTTTTGGAATGCTGCTTGTAACCCTGTAGTGATATGAAAAACATAAATCTTCCTTGTATTCCATAGGGGGCTGGATTTGGTGTGTCACACTGCAGCTCACTGCGCACCTAATCTAGTGTCTTTCAGACATAATTCAGAAACCTTCTGGGTATTTGGTGTGTCTGAGTCACTCGGGTTCAGAGGCCATGCAGTGATGTGGTAATGCCTGCAGAGCTCTGCATCACAGATGCACATGCTCTCTCTGCCTTTTACTGCTACCTCTCAAGCTGTGATCTTCTCATCACAGCTGCCATCTCGACTCACAGTGATAGCATCTATGTCCGTAAAGGCTCAAGTACTTTACGCACTTCATGTCAGCCCAGACTCTTGACGTTTATGCACCCAGCAGTTCAATAAGGAGCTGCCAGCAGAGGAACAATTCTCATATTGTTACTAACACTAAACATTTGAAGTGAAGCAACGCCTTTTGTACCATATTTCAGAACTCTTCTCTTACAAAGCTTTTGTTCCAAATCGAGATGGATCAGGTTAACAGGGTAATATTACTGTGAGCATCCTTCACTTGTCCATTTCCTTTTGAAACAGTAAAGATATTCATGTGATGCAGTGTAACATGTCACAGAGCTTGCATAAAAGGTCAGCCTTTATGTAACTGATGCTGAAGCATAATCTTCTTATGAAATGTGTGTCTATATATGTGTTTCTTTCTCTTTAAATCCAAGATACTGATTTTCCCAGAAGGCACCTGCACAAACCGATCTTGCCTGATCACATTTAAACAAGGTGAGAGATTTTGTTGCATCGTTGTTGGAAAATAATGTGTGAAGTATTAATCTGATAGTTCTAGTAAGGCCTATACTTCTGCAGGTACATCATCTACAACAGCACTGTCATAATGTCTTACATCATTAAAGTTCCAGTGGCATTTAACCCAGTAATGTATACTATTCAGTTTACTTTTCTGATCTTTGGTATTTTGCAGGATGCAAAATACCTATGACGTATACAGTTAGTTGGTTGGGCTTTTTCTGGGTACAGTTTTCATCAAATTTATTTACCCAGAAACTTGACTCTGATCGTTAGGAGATGAACTACCAAAATACACGCTACGTGCAATGTTCTTTTAGCTCAACTTACAGTTGTGCCATCTTAGATTCCTGTAAATTTTACCACACAAGTTTTATCAACCAAGTTATGAAATCTCTTTGCGTAGTGCTTAGCAAGGTAGGCCAATAGATAATTTTTAACACAGAAAGGTACTTGATAGCATCACTGATCAATAGATTGTTGTGCTGCACTTCAGTTAAAGCTATGTTGACCTCCTTTCTTACTGTTGTACAGTATCTTGGGTAGCAGAGTTACAAAACCAGTACTACATGCTCACACCCATATCACTTATGAACATGATCAGAACAGAGAAGGGTTCAGGAAATGCTCAACAGCCTTCCAAGCATCTAATCCTTTGAAATGAATGCCAATCAACAGGGAGGTAATACACAGAAAATGAGTTTGAACAGTCCAGGAATCTTGGGCAGCTTTCTCCTTGAAATGGAGACTAGCCCTTTTCTGTCCAAACTTCTTGCTAGCTGCACTGCTGACTTAAAGAAAACACAACAACAAAAAAAAACACCCCACCAAACAACAAACCAAACACCCCTCCAGAAAAAAAACAAAAAACCACAACAAGAAAAACGCTTCCCATTCTTCTCACCTTTTTAAAAATTTCTCCTTCCAGATACTATGTCTTACATGGATCACTTAAAACTGCCAACTGCTTTATTAAGCTTTGTCTTAACAATCAGTTCTGATTTGTGGTTACAGGTGCCTTTGTTCCACGAGTCCCTGTACAACCTGTGTTGCTCCGATACCCCAACAAGCTGGTAAGCAGAACATTCTTCTGTCACTAACTAGTAATATGAAAGTCAAAATCCTGACTTAAATGGTATCTATGATAAATATTTTGCATTGTCACTGAACAATCTATTGTCCTGAGCTTTAGCACTGGAGAGCTCCTGGAAGCAGCCGGGCTTCCCAAGTGCCACCATGGTGTAGTTGCTATTCTGACTGTGAAAAAATTACTGCTGGGCTTCTTCGCTATAGTTGAAGTAAGAGGGAGCACGGGAAAGTATTGCAGCGGAAGTTAGAAACTTCCTGCAAAGCCGCAGAGCCTGCACTTTGAAGTCTAAAATGCACACAACTTCCCTACTAGTCATCATTTTTTGTTTGAGCTCTAAAAACTCTTACCGCAAAGGGGCTTGCAAAGGTTCTGAGCATAAGCAAAGCCGAGCCATGCAGTACCTCCCACACCCCGCTCCTTCGGGCACCTCAGGAGAGCAGCTTTGCAGATGGTTCCTTGCATGCAACTTTCCCTTGTTTTGCTAAGTGAATGGTTACACTTTCTGCCAAGTACAGGAGTGCAGGCATATGGCTCTGCTTCACTGAGAGGTGTAATGCTGGGATGCGAGTCCAGCAACTTTTAAACTTTTGGGTTTTTATTATCTGGTCATCCAGCACATCCAGAAAATACCAAACTTTTCATCCCTTTTGCTTTTTTTAAGAGGAAAAAACAAGTGATTGTTGTTGTTGTTGTTATTTCCAAAGATTCCTTTGTAAAATCCTTTTTCAGATCAATTTCAAAGCAGTGAAGGGAACCACTAAAGGGGACTGGTATCACATTTCACCAATAGGATTTAAGGATCTGCAGTATACATTGTGAAAATCATATATAGGAAGTAATAAACATACAATAAGAAAACAAAAAAAAGGCAAAGCAAAAAAAAGCAAAGAAAAAGCATGCTAGATTAATTACCTATGCAGAAATGTCCGTAAAAACTAAATCAAACATATTTATGAGGGTGCCTTTCTAAAGGGACAGGTGAAGTCCTCTGCAAAAGTCTTAGATTATTTTTTTCCTACTTCTGTTGTTTGGATAAGAATTAATGATTTAAAACATCTAAGTACCTATATAAATTTTATTCCCATTGCTGATATTATCAAAAGTCTGCCATGCTTATATCCAGATTTTTAAGGCAAGGAATCCTAGTTGCCTTCAGACCCTTATTTATTTTCACTACAGGACTATAAAACCATCATCTGCTTTTACTAAACTTGTGCCTGTTTGATAAAGTAACTTACCTGCTCTCTAACTTTCATCTGGTTTTGCCATACATTGCTATGTTTATTTTTTTCCTTAGGATACTGTCACCTGGACATGGCAGGGCTACTCACTGTAAGTTTCTTAATCCTACTGAAAATTACCTATGGGATTTTTTTCCCCTGTTGCTAAACAGTCTGCCAAACAGATTCTGCTAAACCAAGACACCTGTTCTTTGAGATCTGTTTTTATGAGGGGGAAACACTTGGGGAGAATGCTGTCATGCAGTAGATTTCATACCTGAATAGCTAGAGAAGGGGTTTGCAAATGGGAAAGCATTATTTCCAGCTCTGCCACCATTTTGTTTAATATTCTCCTGTGTTTTGCACATTACACTAGCAAAAGAAAGATTCTAAATTCTTTTTTTGGGGGGAACAAACATAGTCATCAAAACCCACAGATGTTTACTACTTCCTACGTGGTATACAAACAAGAAAAAAAAAGTTCTTTTATCCCCTCTGTTTATTCATTCCTCCATCTCATTTGAAGAGTCATATGAGAGCAAATGAAGAAGATGGGCAAAACAAGTCTTAATTTTCCCCATCTTTCCCCATTCTAACATCTAAGATTGTTTAGATTTTTATTTTTGCCTAACTCAACAAAAGCAATTGTTTTGAGATCCCAGTGAAGACTATATATATAGTATCTGACATTGAAATAAAGAAAAATATTTCAATAAGCCATGTAGGCAATGGACCCATACTTTTCACCTTATAAACATTCATTAAAGTGTGGACTTGCAGAATCCATATACCACATTTTCATGTGGACTACCTGGACAAGGTCCTGTGCAGCCTACTCTGGGTGACCCTGCTTCAGCAGGGGGTTGGACTAGATGACCCACAGAGGTCCCTTCCAATCCCTACCATTCTGTGTGTGATTCTGTGTGTGTGCAGTACAGTAGTACTGATTTACTAAGTGACTAAAATTTTTAAGGCAACTTATTTTGAAACATGTTTGAACTAGTGGAGCCGATCATAAGCACCTTTTAAGCTATCATTAGTTAACCCTAGCACTTGCACGCTTGTAGAATGGACGTTATGAAAGCTGACCTAGATGAAAATGCCCATCTCTCTTAGTTTCCCAAGAATTTTTTGCTATGATTATTACTGTTACAGTTATCAGCATACTGAGAGTAATGAATGTTGCAAATTCAGTAGCATACTACAGATTTCCCCCATAAAGGAGTTATGCTGGAAGATTGAAAAGGAGCTGTGTTTTCCATTCTGAGAGATGGTGTAGGAATAGGTGAAGAAAGAAACTAAATGGGAGGTATTGCCCTGGTAGGGAGGAGGCTGCCCATTCGCTAAAAACTGCGAACTGCTCTAAGCCTGGTGGCTGAATGATGGAGGCTCAAATCGAAACCTGTGAGAAGATGAAAGGACCAGCTTGGCAAAATCATGGCAAGAGAAGGGCTGGATGGGGTAGAATTTAGAGATTCTTCACAAAAAGAACTGGAACCGGGAGAACATTTTCCCCCCAAACCTACAGATCACAAAATGCAGAACAGTCACACTCTTTGTAAAACCTCCTGGATATTGTGGCCAGGATGGGACAGTACCATTCTCCTTCTCAGAAATCTCCTGACCCAGTTTCCGCTTTCACTTCTTACTTTTGTGCCTTACTGGGAGGAAAGCTTAATGTTATATGTTAGAAAATCAAGTGTTAAAGAGTAGATTCCTGCAGAAAGTAGAAAGGATCCCTTATTCTTCTCTTGCCTTTTCCTTTTCTCTTTTTTGTTTTGTACAAAACGAACAGGAGATTGCTAGGAGGTTTTACATTATAATTTACCTGATTTAAAGTAAAGAGCAAGTGTGCATTTCTGCTTAAAAATCAGAGTGAAAAGAGCAAGTCAGAAGTGGCAGTGATTATGCTTATCCTCTTTTGCAGTTTCTTCCTCGCCCTACCTGTTGATACTAAAATTTCTGACTTTTTGTAAAAGCACTGAAGGTCTGCAACATACTGACACTTCACTAACACAGCTGCGTAAGCACTATTATAATTTGGAAAATGGCTAGCAAATACTAACAAATCCTTGCTTCAGTTCTGCAGAAGGAAGTTACTGGCCCTATTTTGCAGGTGAGAGAATAAAAGATGAAATAAAGCTACTTCTCAGAACCAAAGCTCTTAAAGCTTTAAAATACAGTATGTATTCACCTCTTTAAAGTAACTTGTACACATTTTGCTGGCCGAGTAACTATATAGTATTGTTAACATGCATGACAAGAAGTTGCCTGCCCAGTGAGCAAACAGCAGGTATGTGCAGAAGCCCTGTAGAAAAAATGTCAAAAGCAACATTCTGGGAATGCTTTTCCCAGTATTCAGGGAACTTCACTGCAAGGTACTTAAAAACCTCACCTAATATCGGCTGTGTTTTTGTCAACGCTTTAAAAAGTTTCATCTACTGACAGGAAAATACTTTGTTTTTAAATAAGTAAAATGTATTTTTCTATCTTTTTCTTCCTTGCCTGCAGAAAAGAGCTGTGCGTAATGACGCTGTGTCAGCTCTTCACAAGAGTAGAAGTTGAGGTAAGAGTTATTTTTGTACTAAGATTCAGCAACCAGGGAATTTATACTTTAATATAAATGCATTATTCACATTATTAGTTACTGTTAGTGAACAATAAACAAATGTCTCAGAAACAGGAACAGAATCATGGGAATAATATATTTAGATTTGTTGTCCATATCTATTATCACTTAATCTGATGAGTTCCTAAAAAGAAAGCTGTCAGAAATGCCTTTATTTTTAAAGCATTGTAAAATCATTGTTAATTATCACCACATGCATTCTACAGATGTTTAAACTAAGAATTACAATAAGTTCTGTTAAAGGTAACAGCTTCTCTCTCTTTCCCACCTTCTCATTCCCTGCTCCCTTTAAAGTATCCTTGTCTTCCTCACCATCTTCCCAGACTGAACTCTAAAAGGTTTCTGCAACTGAAGAGGAGTTACTTAGGGACTGTAGTACTTGCACTGGGGAGAAAGCTGAGCCTTGTGTAATGAACCTGTTCCCCTGATCATTAAAATCAGCTGCACAGCACAAAGACAGATGAATGACCTCTGAAACAACACATACACTCCATAATATCAGTATGCTTGGTCTAACTGCTCCCGGTGAAGAGTCAACATTGAAAACACAGCAGTGAGGAGCCAGATAACCGAGCAGATCAGTTTGTTTCCACTGTTGCACTTCACATTCCTTACCAGACCAGAAAGGATTGTCAGTGTGGACTAAGTTGATTTAGGGACCTGATGAATGCCAGAATTTCAGACAGGTTTTGCTGTTTATTTGCAAAACATAGAATTCAGCAAAGTTGTGCAAAGCTTTGTGCATACAAGCAGTGTTGCTACTACTAACAGTTAGCAATATGGTCTTTGTTGTGAAGCAATGAAATTCATTTTAAAGGAACACCTTGTTACGGTATAGTACATGCAGTAGACACATATTTGTAGAAGGTGTACTAAAGAGCCGATTCTCCTAATGATTTTGTACAGAAAGACATATCTATGTAATTTATATATGTGGGAGCAGGAAGTAATTAATGTAGCCCTTCCAGTAGAAGGTTTATTCCCCCCTGATTCAGAACAGAGCTCAAACTTTCCTGTTAGAAAATAAATCTCACGTTCCAAAAGATGAAACTGAAACATGAAAAAATATGCAGCTTTCACAGCAGTATGTGTCCCCAAAGTGGAACTAATTTCTTGGCATCATGCGAAGGGCCTTGCATTTCTAAAAAGAGGAGGGGCAGATTTGCCTGGGGAAGGAGGGAATGAGAGTACTCCTTTTAGGAGTGGACATTTCTGTTGCTGTGCCTTACTGTGAGCAAGTAGCCTCTCCGCTCCCATCATTCTGGCCCTGTGCAGGAACAGGGAGGTACTCCTGGAGTCCAGGGGGGTGAGTGCGTGCATGCCTAGCCATACTCTTAACAAATTGGGGATACTGAAGATTCAACAGTGAACCTGGCAGTGAGTTTTAGGGCTGCAAAAGATACAGAATTTGTCAAATTCTGTAAGAAGAGAGACTAGGTCAAAAGCAGATCAGAGAAGTATTTTTGCTGCTGAAAAGAGCTGGAAGAATTTTTCTTACAGGACTGCAATTTGACAGGGAAGTTATACTTACTACTGGTCTTCACCAGATAAGCAGCTGGGTGTGTGTGAGATCATGCATGCCATCTCAGGAGGCCAAGAAACCAAATTCCTCATCCCCCCGCTGTGGTTGCTGGCAAACTGCAACAGCAACTACAATGAATAATTGTAGTTGGGTTTTTTGAAGGGGAGGAAGGAGTTGTTTAACCTGCCAGAAATTTAGGTTGCTGTCTGAGCAAGACCTCAGCCTCAAATGATGTAATGACCACTTGCAAGACCATGACCCGTGTTTGCATAGATAAACGTCTCAGAGTTATGACTTCATCTCACCCAGTGATGACACAGTTTTCTGTGTCTGTACAGTGTGCCTGTGCTTCCTCGATTTAAGTGACTTCTGAAGGGGAGTTGTAATTAGCAGGGACATATGTCAGACCTTGAACAGAGCTGGTGACTGCTTATAGAAGGAATGAAATCTTAAACCTTCATGTGAACGGCTGGGCCTCTGCTGTTCTTACAGGGGAGCAAACTTAAATTAGCTATAAACAGAAAATTGTTACAGCTATTTGACAGATAACCAATCTATAAACTTACTGTTTTTAATCATTAAGAGGCAGCATTCCTTAAAAACAAATATGAAAAGGCTGTTCAGCCTATTCGTGCATCACCAGAAACTGCAATAAAACTGAAAAAATGTATTAACGCATAATCAGCAACTGTGTCTTCCAATGAACCATGAGCAACACCTTATACTTATTCTAGAATTGCTGTATTCTAGGATTTAAGTGCAGGATTGCAAGGTAGGGAGGAGCAGAACTGAGATAAATAATAACCATAACTGAGAAAAGGCATAGCAAACAAAGCTGTGAGCGAACACTGTAGACTGAAGTAGAAAGAACAAAATACTCCTCCACACACACTGCTCTGCAAACTAACAGACGCTGATTCACGCTATATTCTACAGTAATACATCTGTTGTTCATTTTTAGTGTAACGCTACTTCAACTGCTTACATACTAACATTGAATAAATCCTCAGCAGTAAATGTGTTGTCTTTTAGATATCTGGGGTGTGTTCTAGGTTTGGGAGGAGAGGAGGTTGTTTTGTTGGCGTTTTTTACTCTGCTTGGAGTTTCCAGATTTTACAGTATTTGTATCTGGTTAGTGCTCTACTTACAATTCAGAACTAAGATTCCTCAACATTTTTATCGTGGAGGAAAAGCTCACAGGAAATTTATCAGTCACATGCTGACAGAATTAACAGATATGAGGTGGGACTGCAATGCATATGGAAAAACATTAAAAATCTTACATACACTATTCCAGGATATAACATGACTTATAAAGAAACTTTGAAAAGGAGCATACAGTATTTCAAACTCACATTCATACCAATGTAGCATTTAATTTTCTAACTAAGTATGCATTTATTATACTTTCCTTCTTTGGGGGTTTGATTTTTTGATATTAAAGTAGCTTCTACCAATCCTTAAGAGGAAGTTTTGGACCAAATCTTACTTCTGCGGCTAGGGCAGACGAGCCCGAGTGGTTCTAAGGCGGTTGAGACCTCTAGTGTCCAGTTCCTTCATTGCAGGGCTGATTTTTTTTCCTCCTGTTCTTCCCCCATTCCAAACAATAACAAGAAATTGTCTGTTGCTAAGGAAGCAGTGACTATTGAATTGATTGGATAACTCATCTCTTTCAGTTTCTGCCTGTTCATGTTCCTACTGAGGAAGAAAAGAACGATCCCATTCTTTTTGCCAACAGAGTCCGGCAAACAATGGCAACGTATGTAATTGGTCATGAATAAAATCTTTTGAGAACTTTTATGTCCAGAAATTCCATGTATATCCTAGCCATAAAGTACAATTTAGTCAAGTCCCAGGTACTATATATAGGAGTTGCTCTAGATTCTCACTAAGAGGTGTCAAATTCTTATACTAAAACATCCGATTGTTTAAATCTGGAGCATAAAGAAGGTTCTCTTATATTACAACATGGTACGTTCATGGAAAGCTGGCATAACTTGCTCCCTTATTTGCTTGGCAAGAGTAAGTGGGTGGTTTGTCCTCCAAGGTTACTGGGCTGCATTTACAAGACTGTAAATGTTAAAACACCATGATGCTGCCGTAGTTTCCCAGTATGGTTTCACAGTTTCACAAAATGGCACGTATTGCTTTATTCTACTTGCAGCAGTGCAAGAATGAATTATGATTTGCTTTGTATATTAGCATTAAAGCCAAACTGAGACAGAGAAGGGAAACAATCAACTAAAAGTAATTTTAATATAAGAAACTGATTTTTCTTTTTTCTTAATTTTGTTTCAGTGCTTTGAATGTGCCAGTGCAGGACAGCTGACTTTACCCATGGAAGCTGGGCTGGTGGAGTTCACCAAAATTAGCAAGAAACTCAAGTAAGGGAAGTTTAACTGTTGGAAGCATAATTACTGCAGTGCTGCAGATGTTGGTGGTCATCTACAAAGGATAAATTACCTGACAACTGACTTGGCCATGTGTAATATAGTGTAATTTTGTATATAACTTACATACATAAACTATATGGAAATCAGACATGATGAAAATCCCAGTAAGAACTAATCTAAAATAATTTTTGTGGGCAGCGTTACAAAAGGAAAAATGCATTTTTCTAATCTTTTATGGATTTATGTCATCAAAAGGTGAGGAAGGTAAAGCAGTACCTATTTTAGGTACTTGATGGTAATCTTGGTGCCCAATTCAAATTGCTCTTGTGGAGATGCACAGACAGTGTGTGGTAAGAAGTAAAAAAACCTTCTTTCCAGCCTGAGACTTCAACCAGTGGCTGACTGTTCCTAGTTGTACTGTGCATCCATGTTTCCCTAGTGGTGTCAACTTTTTCTGTCTGGATACAGTGGAATTTGAGGACTGAACCACTTAATCATACAGTAACTCCATCAAATAACCTGGCGTGGCTGTGGTCAAATCTGAAGTATGTGCACAGTGAATCTTGACTTACTGCCTATGTACTATATATCCATTTGTAGAACTCTGTGTGGAACAATCTTCAATAGTTCT